TAGATAACCCATCAAAATGGCCAGGTTAGATAACCCATCAAAATGGCCGGGTTAGATAACCCATCAAAATGGCCAGGTTAGATAACCCATCAAAATGGCCAGGTTAGATAACCCATCAAAATGGCCAGGTTAGATAACCCATCAAAATGGCCAGTTTATAAACCCATCAAAATGGCCAGGTTAGATAACCCATCAAAATGGCCAGGTTAGATAAGGCATCAAATGGCCAGTTTAGATAACCCATCAAAATGGCCAGTTTAGATAACCCATCAAAATGGCCAGGTTAGATAACCCATCAAAATGGCCAGTTTAGATAACCCATCAAAATGGCCAGATTAGATAACCCATCAAAATGGCCAGGTTAGATAACCCATCAAAATGGCCAGATTAGATAACCCATCAAAATGGCCAGGTTAGATAACCCATCAAAATGGCCAGGTTAGATAAGGCATCAAATGGCCAGTTTAGATAACCCATCAAAATGGCCAGGTTAGATAACCCATCAAAATGGCCAGTTTAGATAACCCATCAAAATGGCCAGGTTAGATAACCCATCAAAATGGCCAGTTTAGATAACCCATCAAAATGGCCAGTTTATATAACCCATCAAAATGGCCAGTTTAGATAACCCATCAATTTGGCCACACCTTTCTACTTAAAAGTTGTTTTTTTTCCTTTTTGTAGTAGTGTGGTGGTTTAGGGTTGACTTAGGTGACAACGCCAAAACACTGTAGTAGTGTAAATTGACCCTGCTCGCAGCGCCAAAAACTGTAGCCGAGTGGATGACGTTTAGCTTACAGTTTTATAAATAAGATCAAAATCAAAATGAAACAATCAGGTCTTGAGGACTATAGCTTTTTAATTAATGCTCTCCTATGATGAAAACAAGAAAAAGGACACTATGAACTATGGAGAAGAAGCCTATGAAGAAAAAGGGAAAGAAAAAGAGAAAGAAAAAGGACAATATCTGAAAATAAACAAATAGTACAGGTTAACAATGTCCTGACTAACAAAGCTAATAATAAACATATTACATAACCACGTAATTACACGTGGCGACAACATATACTTAACTAGAAAGCATGATAAATGATACGTAAGTAGTATTGGTTCATACACATGGCAAAGATAATTATCTTGTACTACGAATGTTTTAACTATAAAAGAAACCACGTGCAGTGTTTAATTTGAAACACGTGCACAGTGTTAATGCTACACACAGAACCAGAGTGCGATGTGAGGGCTAAC